GTAAAACCATTCTTATCTCATGGACCCTATAAAAAGAAACAGCAAGAAGTTCTTCACCTAGCAACAGTTTTCTCAGCCTCTATTCTAAGACATTGCATCAAATGCTAGCTGTGCTCCAGGAAAAAAACTCTGATATATGTATCAAAAAATATATTTTGGTGGTACTGGGGTTTGAACTCAGTGCCTCACACTTACAGGCAACTCTACTACTTGAGCCATTCTACCAGTCCTTTCTGTGCTCAGTTTTATTGGGAAAGGGTCTCACAAACCATTTGTCTGGGCTGACTTGGGACCGTGATCCTCTTGATTTCTGTATCTAAAGTAGCTAAGCCACTGGGGCCAGCTGAGGTCTGTATTTCTATCATTCTCATTTTACATATGTGGAGACTGAAGTATAGAGAAGGTAAGAATTATGTCCACAGATTCACAGTGGCAGAGGTTGAATTCAGAAGTAGCCTGACTCTACATCACAATGTAATGGAGTCATTCACTACAGGTCATAGGATTCAGCAAAGAAGCTGAAAGGAGGAATTAGAGAAGCAGTCAAAGTGTTATGAGATGTTAGATCAATAATCCCCGAGGATGATACAGGGCCATAAGGAGAAAGATCAAAGACTGTGGAACAAAGTGGTTGATGAATGAGTGTGGCAGTCAAGAGGCTAATAGGACACAATAGGAAGGACATATCACAGCCTCAAAAACTCTTATTTCATGTCTTAGAGAGCCCTGTGGACCTCATAGGAAGTTGCTTCCATGTCCTTTTGCTTGTGATTTACACATTCAGTTAGCATTTCAGGTGTATATTCTCTTCTAGTTTGAGGCGGGGGTGGGGGAAGGCAAATATGACACATAATTATATCCAAGTGTGAGTGGGGCTGTACTAAAGGTGAGCACACATCACCCAGTTTTTGGAAATGGGGGATGTTTTCAGGTGAGGTTCAGTTAAGTGTCTCAGATGGAAGGAGTAGGACTTATAAAGGTCCCAAGGCAGGCAAAGGAACATAGTAGTTTCCTGGAAAAGTCTAAAATCAGTATGACCAGAGCACTGGCTGAGGAAGGAATTAAGGGGCAATGAGAGATCAGAATGGACATGCAGTAGGGGTAGAACTGGGAGGGTAAGTAGGTATGTCCACATCATCAGGAGTTTATATGCAAGGAATGCGGAATGTGGATACCATCTGGAAGTCAGTGGGATTCTCTGCAGGAATTTGAGCAGCAGAGTAACTTGAAACATGGACTTTTGGAAGCTCTAACAAGCAGTGGTATGCAGATTGATGGCAAAAGGCATGAAGCCAATTGAATGACCTTTGTAGTGGCATGTGTGGCTCTGGTATCCTATTCCTCCATTTCTGACACTAAGTATTCAGTGAAAGATAGGAAAGAATTACGGGGCAAAATACTGCACTGAATTAGATGTATCTGACATGCTTAATTATGGTCTGTGAAACTATTCTAGTTGCAAACAGAAACAAAATATTAAGGGTACTTAGGAATTGCTTCAAATATTGGAAACTTTCTCTTTTAGATGTATTATATTCATATTAAATGATTGCTTTTAATCATTTAATGGTTACAGCTAGCAAAATATGGACAATAGCTTTCCAATATGCATATGTGTGTATAAAACATTAGTATCCGTATTTGAAAGTTTATTAAGTACTATGATTATCAGGTTTATATAATCCAATAGCAAGTAGAATTTCAGAGTGGCTAAATTTATTATTTAGTTCACTTGAAAGAAAAAAAACTCTTTAAGACATGATTGTTTTACTCTTTTGTAACTTCATATGTCTTTTTAGAAAAATAACTTAATTGAAACCTTTATTATATGCCCCAGTTTTTTTACTGTGTTTTGAGGAGTGAATTGTAATTTCATATCATGTTTTGCTACAAAGAACTTTGTACAATTTTAAAAGCAGAACCTTTATACTAAATCATGTAGAAGAAGTGTGTTCTTATCACAATTTCAAATTAGAAAGGAAAAAATGTTACAAAGTCTGTGCTGTTGCAAAAGGTCACTGTGTTAAAAGATACCATGAAGAAAAGGAAATTTGTGGTCCATTTTGTGTGTTCTTTACTTATGCCCAGTTTTGACCATGGCCATAGGGCTGCATTCCTTTCTTCACTGAATTACAACCTTCATAGCTTATTCATGTCTATACTGGAGTCTTATTCAGCTCAGAGCAAGAAGATAAAATAAAATAAGCAGATAAGATGCTGTGGTTTTCAGTAACATTTTCCTTCATAGTAATTTATATCCTGCAACATGAATCATGTTTACTTTAAGATAAATATCAACATCAGGACCCAATTAACTGGCTTGAGATAATTTTAGACTATTATATGTGTGTTTTAAGTCCTATTTTGCAGAGTTTTCATTTGTGGCATGTAGCAGTGAGGTGAAGCGGAAGAAACAGATTTGATATTTACAGACCTTCCAGTAATCTTTAGTATGCTCTTTGATGCTTAATTTTCTCATGTGCACTGTGAGGAGAGAACACAGGGCTTGTGAGGACTAATGCCTGTAAAGACACTAGTTAGTGACTGTACATAGGCTCTCTGGATGCGGCAATTACTATAATTATTATTTTCTTAGTTTTGTAATTAGAGAAAATAGAGTAAGAATGCTCAGTTATCCCATTGGCCTAAAAAAATAGCCACTGCAAGCAGATCATATATAAAAAAGTTTTCAAATACCACTGAGATTTTTAAAAATATTTCAAGACTGAACCAAATACTGCTATGTTTTATAGAGTTAATGATCCACTCAAAGTGTCTGATTTAAACAAGGCATAATATTTTGGAATAATGTGTGCTCTACTTGATAGTATGTTGATTTTCACACAGAAGTTAGATGCAATAGGTAGACAGGGCTTAAAATTAATGGGAATTAAACTTATTATACTGTACAAGGGAAATTATACAAAGGTTCATCCAAATGTGTTTATAGACATAGAAGTCATTAGCTCTAAACTATAATAAATTTAGGGAAAAGTCATATGCACATTGTTTAAAAGATCTCCTTCAATCATTCATACTAATAATTATTGTAAATTACAGACTAATAATTATTGTAAATAAATGTTGGTGGAAATTGTAATTTTCAAACAGAAAAACCTTATTGCTGGTTATCCTCGACTTTGTGGATGATAAATTGTGGTGATGGTGCATCTCCACTCTAAAATCAGTTCCATTTTTATTCTCATTAAGTCTTCCCAGAAACATTATATTTATAATACAAAGTGTATTGTGAAATTTGATGGTAATCCTATTTATTTAACAACTGAAACTTGTTCAGGTATATTATTGGTAATACTACTGATTACTTTTAGTCAGAAGTGAATAAAAAGTGTTCTTTGCACCTATGTAAAACTAGATCCTGCCTCTTATATATTTAGTAAACAGCACCTCCAATTAGAATTTAAATATATCAAGTAAGGACTCCACTTCAGGCATGCGGAGTGATATATTGACCAGCACTTGGCTTACTCTGAATAGTCCATGTTTGAATGCAGATAAAAATGCAATGGATCATATGTATATATAATGATATGGGTTCAAAGTGTATAACAATATATACACTACCTGATTTAAATTTTGACATGCTTAGTGGGTTAAATAGATGTATAATTGTGGATTAGGGAATTTGGGGAGCTGAAAACAATCAAATTTATTCTTTTCTGTCCAGTTGATTTCATGTAACATAATGCTTTGAAGGTTCATCCATGTTGCAATTGGCTCATCATTATCTCAAGATCCAGTCGTTCTGCGTTCCAGTGTGGTGGTTAGATAATTTGGTGTAGTAGAACTTCGTTCATCTTTATGACTGAATCAAATCCCATCACACATATCACATTTCATTAATGCATTCATCTCTGGAAGAAAACTTGGTTTATTTTCACCTTTTGTCTGTTTTGAATAATACTGCAAAGAACAATGGAATGTAAACTATGTCATCATGTACTGGCTTTCAGTTCTTTGGGATCTATACCTAGAGGCAGCATTAGTAAGTCAGATAGTATTCCCATATTAAGCATTTTGAGGAATATTGTTTAATTCCACTTATATGTAGTTTCTAGAATAGGCAACTTCCTAAGGACAGAAGATAGATTATAGGTTGCCCAGGGCTGGGAGGAGAGGGGTGAGAATGGGGAAGTTAAGTATAGTGTTATTAAATTTCTGTTTGAGGTGATAAAAGTTTCAGAAATCGATAATAGTGATGATTACACAACATTAACTAACAAGACTGAATTGTATACTCAAATTGGAAATTTTTATGTCATATAACAATTAAAAAATACTAGTATAATATACCACAAAAAACATGGAATTGTATACTTCAAATGGGTGAATATAGAGGTAGGTGAATTTTTATCCATGAGAGCTGTTGATTCAAATAGGTCACTCTTAAAATGGAGAATTTAAGATTCCAAGCTTTGTATGGACGGCCCACAGTGGCTGGTGGCAGTTGGAATGAGTGATTTAGAAGATTTATGCTTTCACCAAAAAGCAGCCCTGTGTTAGATATTCTAAGGCTACAAAAAACGTGGGAGGAAATGTACCACTGCTCAGCTGTCAGGACTGTTAGTCTATATCACAAAGCATGAACCAGTGCTCGTGAAGTCATTGTCAAGAGAGTAAAAATCAAAAACTCTTTATTCGTGCACAACACATACATACACAGACACATGCACACTCACACACATATACTTAGCACCACACAGACTATAAAACATCCCAAATACACACGTAATGCACCTTCTGTTTTGCTTGTCCATAATTTTGTTCCAGATTAAAATATTTGAAATATTTGTAATTGAAAATATTGTTATCATAGTCTGCCTCTTGAATGCCCCAAACTCCGATACAGTGTTAGAGAGACAAGGTAAGTGATGGATTTAAGGACTGGAATCATGTCCTATTTCTTGTGTTAAAAACACTCTTTTTATATTAGATTATTTGTTCAACCCCCTTTCTTCTTTTTTAAACTGATTTTCCAGCTGCTCCAGTTGATGTACTAAAAGCACTAGATTTTCACAATTCTCCAGAGGGAATATCAAAAACAACAGGATTTTGCACAAACAGAAAGAATTCTAAAGGCTCAGATGCTGCTTACAGAGTTTCAAAGCTAGCACAAATTAGTGCTCCAACAAAACAGCTCTTTCCAGGTATGTTAACTTATTCCTATTGTGACTACTACTGTTGTTGATACTTACATTATTTCTACAATATCTTTACTAATTATTATTTTTTTATTGTGCTACACAATAACCAACTATAGGGTGAAATATAAATTTTTCATATATCAGACATCAGATACGTTGGAATCACCAACGTGATATAATGAAAATAAATGTCAATCCTAATTCAGCAGTCATTTTGCCTCTTTGAATATTTAATATTTCATTATTTTCAGATGACAAAATGTAAAGATAATGATTTATGATCTTTCCATTTTTCTGGGCTATCATAGAAGAGCTTACTTATTGAGACTGGGCTGGGAATTAGAGAGAAACTTTACTCTTAATGACTAGTTAGGTTAATTTAAGAGGCAGGTGGATTTAGACATAGTTGGTTCATTTGTTCCTAAAATTCATGTAAATGTTTCTCTTTGCAGACACTTCTGTTGAAGGTGTTGATTTTGCATTATATTTGCACACCATCCTTATATTATTGAAATTTCTGGGTCAAGAAATTTTGTAATATTTCAATTGGCAGGTTTCCATAATGGTATTGAAAATTCACTTAATATTTTATTTTCTTCTGTGGAAGCATTCATTGACATAAGAGTATTAATTGGATGGAAATCATGATGAGGTAGGGAGAGGGAGTAGAGTGAGAACATGAAAACTTATAAGCTTAGAAATGCCTGTAATTGACATGTGCCCATTTATTTGTCTTAACAAATTTAAGGAGGTGACCTCGTTCCACTTAATAGAGGAAGAAACAGAGTCTTACAGGTGTTCTCTGGTTTGACTAAGTTATACTTAATCCAGGTCTTGACTGCTCCAAGGACAATATTTCATATATTATCAAATATTCTTTTTTGGTGTGTCATGATCTGGGTAGCAATTTTCATAGCATCATCTCTATCTAAAGAATTTAAGTTTCCTGTTTTCATATAAAAATCTTTTACAACAGGACAAATGGAAATCAAGGGATTAAAAACACCATAAAATGACAAAGTACACTTTTCATGGAAAGACTTTTTAAAAAACTTTTCGGCAGTATGGGGGTTTGCACTCAAGGTTTTGCACTAACAACAACTCTAGCACTTGAGCCAGGACTCCAGCCTGTTGGAGCTACATTTTAAAGTATTTTAAAAACACGTTTATTTTGATCATTCATTAAATCTTCTAGTGTGTTTTCTATTTTGCAATAATTTTTGGTAAACAAAAGAATCAAACTGCATATATAAAGAAAACAATGCATAGTTTTTCTGATTTTAAAAATTAGTTATTGAAATATTACTAGGTCCAACTGAATATTATTAAATAGTAAAAATATAATTTTTTCATTTGCCTGCATGATGATACATTACCTAATGCATTTCTAAGAAGAAAAAGGATTGAAATTCTAAAGAGAAAAAGCCAGAGGAAAAAAGACTAATAAAATGTAACAGAAATTACAGCATTACTAAAGAAGTTACAGTTTATATTTCTTTTAACAATTGTCTCATTATCTCAGGGTCAGGTTATTCTGCATTCTGTGTGGTATTAGTTTATTTAATTAATTTGATAATCTTTTTTCTCCCGAAGAAAGATCTTCCACTACAGTGAACAGAATTTATCTATGGAAAAGTCTGACCCCCTTTCACAACATTGCATTTTACACACAGAGTGCTAGCAGTGAGCATTTCACCTAAGAAGAGACACCTGTGACAGATACCTCATGCAAATATTATAAGCTTGACTTCCTGGAGAGTAGAACTTCCTGCCAATTATGCACACCTGTAATCCTAGCTACTCAGGAGGCAGAGATCAGGAGAATCTCGGTTCCAAGCCAGCCTGGGCAAATACTTTGAGAGACCCTATCTTGAAAAAATCCCATCACAAAAAAAGGGCTGATGGAGTGGCTTAAGGTATAGGTCCTGAGTTCAAACCCCAGTACTGCAAAAAAAAAAAAAAAATTAACAGATCAATGTTAAAAATATCAAAATAATAAATACTATTATTTATAAAACACATAAAAAAACCTTTGAAAATATCCCTAGAATTCTGGGTTTTCATAGGAATAAAAATATCAATTTATTTTCTAATGAATAAATCAGTAAGAGCATTGTAACTTCAGCAGTTATCATTGAGGGGATTATAAGATCCAGTCACAACTATTCTGGTGCAATTAAGACACATGTCCTTTAAAGTCCCAATTTGAGACTTTCAATTTAAATGTAAGTGTTCACTAGAACTAATAAAAGCTGCAATTTTCAAATTCTATTTGCCCTCTTTAGAATACTTCTGTGAGAAAAACGTGATAAATTCCACATATATTCGCCTGAATCTTCATAACCATCAGGGGAGGGAGGAGGGAGGATAAAGGAGAATGATTGAGGGAAGAACTCAACTATGATATATTGTAAGAACTTTTGTAAATGTCACAACATACCATCAGTACAATAATAAAACAAAAAAATTAAAAATCCACCTGGTCATTGAGCTTTAACATAAAGGGAGCTTAGTTAATGAAAGATAATGACTAAAATTTGAACATTAAAACCAAATAAAAACTTATTGTGCCCTTTCCATATCACATTACTCATGGAGACATATTTTTCTCTTAAAAGTCCATTTTGATTGAATCTGTTATACTTGCAATAATCCATGATTATTATTGTATACATGTGGCTTCATATAAACATGAATGACTAATAGTGAGATGATAATGTTTTTTAGCAACAGTGTTTTAAAATGTCTTATTCTGTTTGTTTATATGCTTTAAAGTATGCAGTAAGTTTAAAACACCACATTTTAGTTTCTACTATACATATTGATCCCTGTATGTCACATATATTTTTACATTTTAAATGGATTAATTCTGTCTGATAAATTAACTTAGTTATGAAAAATATTGATCAGTATGTTATAGGAAGGAAACCAAAGTGGGGTGTTCAGGTGAGAGTTTAAATTTGGTCACAAAGTTAAGATTTTTTTAGATAGCTTAATTTTATCTCTTGAAGACCAAAGCTTAAGGATTGTAAATAAAACCTTTTTGTTTAACTTGGGAAATATAAATAGTTACAGAATGGAAAGATTTGTCTGCAGTAAGAATTTGAAGATTTTCCAAGGTTATACTGTTCTAATTGGATGGTTAATTAAAATTTTTCATAATCCACTTTCCTGCAATTCTTCCTTTCCTACTGGTTCTATGTAGAAATGCTTTCACGGTGTTTTACAAAGGGAAAAATGTACTCCTTTCCCCTCATTCACAATATTTTAACATCACTTTATCTCAGTGGATGAGATCTTAGGAAATTTGAGACACTTAGGGAATACATCCCTGTGGTTACCCATTGAAGCCCTCATTTGAAGGAAAAGTGTGTTTGCCATGAACCTTCAATAATAGCCTGGATTACGTAGATAGATAAGGATAGTATAAACAGGCATAAAGCATTTTTGTTAGTTGGTGTGCATTATAACACTTGCATTTTGTTTTAATGATTATTTTTTTTCTACTGATTTCATAAATTTAAAATTGGATGTTTCTGAGGCATTTAAAATATACTAAGTGAGGGCTGTGCACATTCTTCAGTGGTAGAGCAGCTGCCTAGTATGCATGAGGTCCTGGATTTAATCTCAGCGCCACAAAAAAAAAATGTTAAATCAAACTGAACAAAAAAAATACTTGTGTCTGTACATACACACTAGGTACACATAGACAAATTTTGTTGTGATAGCATTGAGAATTTTAAAATACTTTTTTGTTTAGTTTCACATTATAAATATGTAAAATACATTTTATATATAGTATACATTTATATGTGCATTTAAATGATAAAAACTGAATAGTCAACATTAATTGACTCTTTTTGTGGCACATTCATTTAATTTCCACAGCAGTTCTTTGGGGGCAGATTATGTGATTAGTGCAGTAATGACAAGGTCAGATAAAAGATGTTAAATAGTTTGCTGGGAACACATAGCAAGGATGTCGCAGGGCTGAGATTTGAGTCAAATGATCGGAGATGATCCAGAATTTTTAACTAAGACACTGTACTAGTGCCCATGATGATTTTATGCATGCTTTGTAAGCTAACAAGTATTTGTAGTGCTTGCTACCTTTCCCTTTTATAATGCATTTTTAATAATTTCCAGTTCATAAAACACCTTTCTTTCACATTATTTAAGTGGATTCACAGAATTCTGTTACATGTATTTTTTATTTAGTTTAAACAGCCTCAATTATTAGAACTCATTTTAACAATTTGTTGGTATAAAGAGTGCTTTGACACATTGACAGTGTAATATATTGACACGTAATATCTTTATCTGCCTTTTCCCATAAATACTTAGAAGTAGAACGGCTGAGGTACTGCAGTCATTTGAATGTGAGTCCACGACAGCGTTACCCATATGCTTTTGTGCTTTTATGCTACTCCTTATAACACCATTTGGAAAGAATGGGTTGAATAAGCTTTTTATGTTGGTCCAGACATTGTCAATTATACATGCGCCTGTTTTGCAAATGAAGAACTTGTAAGTCATAGTAAAATCACTCAAATGATGCTGTCTGTTTTACTTATGTGCTAGGGTAGTAAGAGGATCAAATATACTTTGAAAAATAAAACACACAAAGTAATATGTAATGTGTTTATTAAAATAGAAGAAGTCCTTGCTTATAACTGTATGAGATATGGTATGGTAATTCTTAACTGACAAATTTATTTAACAAGTGCTTAGTAAACACCTATATGGATCAGACAGTCCACTGGATATTTGGGATATCATCATGACAGGAGAAAGCAAAAAAATAATAGTATGCCTTATTGAATTTAGAATAAACTTAACCATATATAGCCATACAAATAATAGTTTTGATTTTTTAATGGCATATTATTTTTATTAATGAACATGCATTGTGTGATAAAAATCTCCTTAGCATTTGAAGAAATGATGAAAATAATACCTTTGTCTATCATGTCATTACAGTGCATCTTTAAAGAGAGAGTATATGGCTACAGAGTAGACAAAGCTAGAAAATACAAACCCTGCCTATGCCAAGAGTCCTGCTTAAATAAGCTTTTAAAGAACACTTGCTATGTGTTTGATATTGTACTGGCACCATGATCTTGTCTTCTAAGTTTGAATTCAATTCATATAATCTTATTTTAAATGAGTGGCTTTCAAGGTTGAGTATAACTTGCATGAATATTGCAAGGAAAGCTTGCAAGTCACAGATCCCTCCACACACACACACCCACCTGCTTGCTAAACTGTTCAGTATTTGGATTTAGATGACTTATTATGGCCATATAAAAAAATGCAAATAAAAGTGTGATCTAAGAGCAATTTAGAAATCCTGAATTTATAACTACTTGGCCTTATCTTCCCAGGTGCAACTTTTCCAGAAGATTTTTCAATATTATTTACAGTAAAACCCAAAAAAGGAATTCAGTCTTTTCTTTTATCTATATATAATGAGCATGGTATTCAGCAAGTTGGTGTTGAGGTTGGGAGATCACCAGTTTTTCTGTTTGAAGACCACACTGGAAAGCCTGCCCCAGAAGACTATCCCCTCTTCAGAACTGTTAACATTGCTGATGGGCAGTAAGTAATCTGATGCTCCAATGTATTACCTGTGCTGAAAAAGAATTTCTTTCAGTCATTTACAAGTATTTTTGAAGTTTGTCCAGTTTTTCTAGGGGATGATGGTGAAAAACTGAAACAAAAACATAAAATATCTCATTGCATAGTTTATTTCACAGTCTGGACAGGCAAGTGATGACAATTATTGGTGAACAGCATATCAGGCATAAGTGAGAGAGGAAAATTGAGCAGCGAAGAGGATAGGGAACGACAGTGGTGGTTTAGTTTTAGGGAGGGAGGTCAGGGAAACCTCACTACAAGTCAGGTTCAGTGGTAACAAGTCAGGGAGATGGGGGCATGCTAGGCTGATTTAACACTCATACTGTTCCAGGAGGAGGGTAGGCAAACGTCCAGTCTCCTATTTCAGGGTGCCGCCCATTTTTTCCACCCAACATCAAGAGAGCCAGCATGGCAGGGGCAGAGAAGGATGGTGAAGAGGCGAAGTCAGTGGGAGGCCAGATGGCTTTGTACATCCTGGGAGCATGTGGCTAACTCACTTAATTTGTCACAATTATCTTAAGAAACTATTCATAAAATTACAGATAAGCAAACTGAGACACAGAAAATTTAATTTTCTTAAGGTCATGTAGTTGGAAAGTGCTTGTTGTGTTATATCATTGTCTTTCACGTTGGGAGCAGATAAACACAAACAAATGAATATTACATTTATTTGATATCTTATTGCTGGATCTGCAACTCTAAATCTAGAACTCTAAAAAGTAGCCTTATCAGCCTTATAGGCACAGAAGGAAATAGCAGTGAGGATTAAAACCAAGCAAAAACAAAAGCATATTCATTTGTATCTTTGGTAGACCACAGAGAAATCATCAAGGTTCAGTGCCAGGGAAACCTAGGTTGTAATCACAAATATCCTGCAATATTATTCCATGGACAAGTACAATGTTATGTCACATGTTTTGTTGTTGTTGTTTTGGCCATTGACAAACACTAAGGTACAGGTTGTACCAAGTTGGGAGACACTGGATTTTCTTTCACTTTAAGAAAATACTCAGCATATTTTCTGACGCTGAGTCTTATGAGAGAAAGGGAATAATTAAGGACTTCAAAATAAGCATTAATTTGGCATTTTTAAAATTTAGTATTTTGAATATTATGTATGATGCTACAGTTTTGACATGCCGTTATCATAGTCTGAATTAATTCAAAAAATGTCAAATTTAGGGTTCTAATAATCTATCGATATATGAAATCATTTTTACTTTCTGGTGATGGCAAGCACATACTGATAATACTGTGAACAGTTTAAGATGAGTCACAGGCTTTTTGGCACGAAGGATGTGTAAATTTTACTCTCACTGTATTAAGTGACTCCTTTTATAAATCTTTGCTCAATCCCAACCAAGCAGACGCCTATGCTAGTTGAATGTGCCAGTGGAAAGACCAAAGATGAAGTGTATATGGAAATATATTTGGTCCTCATCAGCAGCCATGCCAAGTATCATGAAATAGACATTTTAGGAGGGCTCCTGCAAATTTTTTTTGGTTACTTGATTTTATGGATCTAGTCCTAGATACTTCTGGAATATTAATCTAGTGCTTTTGATTTGGAAAAATAAAATAAAATACAAAACAGAGTGAACCTGCAGAATCCAAGTGAGCTTCACTCCGTGGTTTATGTTAGCTCCAGATATTAATAAAATCCACCTTTTTACAGTACAGCTAGAGCATGAATGTTTCCGAAGGGCTAGTCACACCCCCCGCAAGCCTGTCATCACCGCCCTGATTAGCCTGAGCCCTGGCTGCAGAGTGAATTGAGCCTCTCCCTCCACACATGCGCTGACTGTGTTTTCTTTCAGTGTTCCCACTTCCTGCCAACTCTGGAAAGAAGGAGAGATATTGTGTCCCAGTCTTGGATCCTACCCACAGTAATGATCTATAACTGTCTTGAAATTAAAGTGGAAAAAGAAAACGAAAGCACTTGAAATACACGGGAAAAAAGACACAGCAGCACATTGTGTTTTACAATCAGAACGTTCAGTTGCTCCAGATGGAGCAGTCATTCAATTAGTAGACATAACCTTTTACAGTCAATTTCAGGGGATCATTAGAGCAGAATTTTTTTTCAACTGGAATTCCACTTAGGAAGAAAGCATTTACATACGTAGAAACTATTACTTACCCTATATCCCACCCTAATCTCTATCGAATACCCACATCAGGATACAGTGAGTCAAGCTTTTGTTGTTAGAGCAGAGAGTAAAGCAAAGAATGGGCCACTGCTTAGCAACATAGACACTCATACTACCGTGCATCTTACGTGCTTGTGTCCTTTTGATTACCTGGCACGGTGTTGGGTAAAAAAGTAAGTACTTATTGGCTGATCAATTGATTCATAAATAAGTCTACATTTTTGCAGCATTTCAGCTCAGTTTTCTAATTCAAAATATACAGGACTTTAACACACGATTAATGGTTTGGCAGCCCAGGTCTTTGAAGCTTACAAAAGACTTGCTTGGCTTTTTCAGGTGGCATCGGGTAGCAATCAGTGTGGAGAAGAAAACTGTGACAATGATTGTTGATTGTAAGAAGAAAACCACAAAACCACTTGACAGAAGTGAAAGATCAATTGTGGATACCAATGGAATCACGGTTTTTGGAACAAGGATTTTGGATGAAGAAGTTTTTGAGGTAAAAAAGAAAAGATCAAGCTTACTTGAGCTGACTGATGTTAAGTATGATGGTGCAAATTAATAACAGTAACAATCAATAGATATTGTGAAGCAAAGTTGGAAACTCTGAAGAGTGACCTACTTTCTTCCTCTGTGGGTGTAGTGGTGATGTTTTCTGTTGTTCATTAGACAATGGTGACTGCAAGGCCTGGGAAACCTTTACAGAAATTGGCTGATTTGAACACAGGCATACCATTCTCTTGGGAAGGACAAACAGATTGACTCCTAGTACTTCATATTATTTTCTTTGGAGAAAAGAACTTTTTCTTCATTTCGTTCTCTGTCAGATGAATTTAGAGAAATGTTGCAGTCATATATCCTGTCTTGCTTTGTTCTTTGTGCATATTTCTAAGGTAAAGTAGATATCATATTTGCAAAAGGCAAACTTTCAATTTTTTAAAAAAAATAAAGTCATGCAAAGAAGTTTCTTCCAATTATTTTTCAGTAATTATCATGATCACATTCTTTCTTTTAATCCTTCTTTTTAATCATTGGATCAGGTAACTCATGCTTCAATTTTCAGTCATTTTATAAAGAATAAACAGACTTTTTTGTGTCCTGACCCCACAACTGAACGCATTCCCAAGACTTTATCATTGTTTCATGATGGTTTTAACACAATTTCTGATTCATTTATTTTTCAGAGTGTAACAGTAGAGCTGTGTGATATAATAGAGATTAAAAGACATGCTTCACATAGGAGATTTGTTGTATTTTGTGGATAAGTGAATATATACATGTATATGTATGCATATGTGTATACACATATAGGTAGTATAAATTTTCATAAGATAACAATGCAAATTCAGTGTGTCAGGTAAACCATTGTATTCCTGTATTAAATAGACTTAACCTATGGCATAAGGTTAAATATAATTGACATTCATGAAATTTTTCAGGCTATTTATTTGGGATATTATTTGTGTACCTAAGCTGTTTACTTTACATAAAATATTTTAATTCATTGTATTATAATGAATTAAATGGTGAACTATTTCTAATAAGATATAATGGCAATAGACTCAGATTTTTCAATGTCATTCGTTGACACATGCACAATGACACACAACTGTTTACTGGATGAATGAATATTATAAGCTATAGTTATAATTTCTAGACTTGCAAAGTCTATTTTAAAACCAAATTATTCATAGACTTTATTTTCACAGGCTTATTTACTTTTTCAACCTCTATAACCTCTTTTTCTAGGTCATAACTGAGTAATATGGAAAAACATGGTGGAATCCCTCCCTCCTCCCTCCCACCTCCTATCTCCCTTCCTCCTTCCCTTCCCTACTTCCTTCCTTCCTTCTTTCCTTCCTTCTTTCTTCTCTCCGTCCTTCCTTTTATCTTTTTCTTATCTCTCTCTTTCTAATTACTAACTTTATAGTACCACATATCCCATTTCAAATTCTGGAGTAACTTTGTTTATTTTGTTGTTACTTGGGTATGAACTCAAAGTTTCATGCTTGCTAGGCAGACTCTCTGCCACTTGAACCATGCCTCCAGTCCCTAACTGCTTATTGAAAGAAGCTATTGAAATACAAAGAAAAGTAATTTTGAAGAGACTCTTCAATGAAAATTTTAGTAAATATTACAGTGGGTAGTGGAAAATTAATTTATTTATCTCTTTCATTTTGGATTTTCATGAAGCTCTCTACAGCTGTAAATAGAACATTTATTTATTGTGAAGTATAATTAGTGTTTATAATGTAAATGAATGAAGAACTATTCCCTATCAGAATTATCTTTGCTATCTTTGACCAGTCAAATAAAGAAACCATATAGTTTTATTTAATCAACTATTGAGTAAAATTTAGAACAAAAGTTTGAATTAAGTCACATCCCTAGCCTAAAATTTTTTCTTTATATTTACTTTTCAGTGGTTCAACTGCTACACGTGGTTTTGTTTGAGTTCATTCATTTTGGGGCTCACAGAGTATCTTACACTTGAGAATAAATGCTTTCCAACAAATTAGGAATGCTTCAGAAATTTTTAAAATAGTTTCTTCTTTACTGTTAAGGATTCCTACCTTTTCCTCTTTTCAAAGATATATGCCTTTGCCTCTTGAAAAAGATTTATACAGCTGTTTTATAAATACTAAGAATTTCAATATCTGAATCATCTCAGGGTTGGCATCTGCTTAACGTTTTCCTGTTGTTAATAAAAAAACTTTTTTTTTTTACCCATTTTGAGTACTTAATTAATTTTTTGACAGGTGGATGTTCACTTGTTCTAGTAATATTACTGGATATTGAAAAGATTGTCTTTTCATCATTGTATTGTCTTAGATCCTTTGTCAAAGATTAGTCTTATATTTTACTGGATTTATTTCTGGGCTTTCTGTTCTATTTCATTGTTTTATTTATAAATTCTTTCACCATTACAACCCTGTATTTACTATTGTAACATTATAGTAAATATTGATACCAGGTTGTTTCAATCTTCTATCTTTGTTCTTTTTCTTCAATGTTGAGTTGGTTGGTTATTCTAGATATTTTTCCTCTTCTTACAAACATTAGAATCAGCTTGTCAATATCCACAAAATAATTTGCTGGGATATTAATTAGGATTGCATTTACAATATAAAATGAGTTTGGGAGAACCAACATCTTGATAATATTGAGTGTCCTATCTATGAAAATAGAATATCCTTTCACTTATTTAGTTGTTCTTTGATATCATTCATCAGATTTTTATTGTTTTCCTCATGTAGCTCTCCTATGTATTTTGTTAGATTCATATACACGTATTTAATTTTTAGTGCTAATATAAATGGGTAAATAAATGTTGAGTCTTTATTTTAAATACCCCATTTTCATTGTGTATGTGTAGGAAAGTGAATGAATTTGTATGTAACTTTGTATCTTGCAGTATTCATTGACTAGTTCCAAGAGGGATTTAGTCCCAATTTTTTGGAATTTCTGTAGTGATTATGATGCCATTTGTGAAGAGACAGATGAATTCCATCCCAATCTGCATACATTTTATTTACTTTTCTTGTCCTATTGCATTAGCTCAGACCTCCAGTATGATGTTGAAAAGCACTGTTAATAGAAACCATCTTTCCCTTGTTTCTGATTTTACTGGGAAATTCCTAAATATCTCACATTTTTAAAAATGTTACTGATTTTTATAGATTTTCTTTATTAAGTTGAAGAATTTCCTCCATTCCCACCTTGCTGAAAGATTGTTTCTCACCTTTTTTATATTAAACATTAAATTTTCTGCCATTTATAACATGCATAAGTAAAAAGTTCTTTGAGTAACATTTGATTTTTTAAAAATTGTTTTATTGTGCTAGGAGTACATTGTGGCATTTACAAAAGTTCTAAAATGTATCAAATATATCATACTTGAATTCACCCCTTTCATCATTCTCTTTTACTTTCCCTTCTCTCATTCTTGGAATAGTTTCAACAGATGTCAGTTTCCATTTACATACATGTGCATGGAGTATTTTAAAATCATGAGTGGGTGTTTGATTTTGCTTTTCTCCACCTATTGATATGAATATTTGATTTTTTTATTTAGTAAGTTGATGTGATTATGTTGGTTGATTTGCAATTATTGAATGAACCTTGCAAACCCAGGATTTTATCTCACCTAGTTGTGGTTTTTTACTATTTTCATACAATATTGGATTTTATTTTGAATATTTTATTGAGTATTTTGGCATTTACAGTCATGAGAAGTAGTTGCCTATAGTTTTCTTTTAATCTCTTGTTTTATATAGGGTGATGTAGATTCATAAAATGAGTGAAGAAATATTTCTGTTTCTTCTATATTCTAAAAGAAATTCTGAACAAATGTATTTTTTTTCCCTTAAATGCTGAACCCATCCTGGCCTTGTGCTTCCTATTTTGAAAAGTTATTGATTTTTTAACAATTTCTTTGTTGGATATTAGTCCATTCAGGCTTATTATTTCTTCCTTTGTGATTTTTTTCAGATCATGTCTTCTAAGGGACTGGTCCATTTTATCTAAGATTGTGAACAGAGTTTTATAATATTCGCTTATTACTTTTTAATGTTCATGGGATCTATAGAGAAATTTTCTCCACTATTCTGATATCAGTAATTCATATCCTCTCCCTATTTTTGGTCATCCTGTTAGAGTCTTATCACTTTTATTAGTTTTTAAATAACCAGTTGTTGGTTTTGGTGATATTCTATATTTATTAAGTTTTTTATGACTTCATTACTTCTGCCGAAGTTTTATTATTTTTTCTGTTTTCCTTCCTTTGGATTTAAGTTGTTCGTGTTCTAATTTCTTAAGATGGAAGCTTAGATGACTGATTTTAGATCTTTCTTCTTTTCCAATATTGGCATTCAATACTATAAATTTCCCTTTAAATAAACCATATCTATGTCTACATTTTTTGGTCATCCTTTTATTTCTCTAGAGATTTCTTCCTTGAAATGTTTAGAAGTGTGGTTGATTTTTAACATTCAAGTAGTTGGGGCTTTCTCAGCTGTCTTCCGTTATTATTCGCTAACTTAACTCCATTGTTATCTGCAAGTAAGCATTGTATGGTTTGTATTGTTTTAAAACTGCTAAGGAATGTTTTATGGCCCAGGGTATGGTCCATGATGGTGAGTATCTATATAAATTGTAGAATGATGCATAATTTACTATTGTTGGATGAAGTAGTCCTTAGATGCCACCTAAATTAATAGTGCATATTACTTCAATTATGTTCTTTCTATTTTCTATTTGCTATATCTGTGCATTTCTAGTAGAAGAATGCTAAGGTTCCCAACAGCAATAGTGGATTCACGTATTCATCCTTGTAGTTCTTTTCGGTTTTGCCTCATGCATTTTACACTCACTTGTTAGAAGCATATGCAACATGCATTGATTTTATTATAGTAAATAATTTTTATGTAATACTTCTCTTTGTTCTTGAAAACCTTCCTTGGTCTGAAATCTGCTTTGTCTGAGATCAATATAGTCATG